GCCCGGCGGGGCCTCCGGCCGACTTCGGCAGCACGGTGCCTGGTGTGCTCGGCTGTGACACCAGGTGACAAGGGACATCGCGGGGGCTGCGGGAGGCCGGGAGCAGCGGGCACAGCTCCTCTTCCTCCACTGCTCCGTGCTGCTAAGCGCAGTGTCCCACACTCCACCGCGGGCACCGGGCTGGGCCCCCCACACCCACGGCCGCCCTGCTGTGCTGCTCACAGGCAGGGAGGCGGAGCCCAGCCGGGAGCATCTCCCCCGCAGGTCCAGGAGGAGGTGGGGTGAGTGGGGGGGGGAGGAAAGGAAGCACAGCGCCTCCTCCAGGACTTCTGGGCACTTCGCCGCCTGTACTGCTACTGTCACCACCTGGACTTCAGCACAAGGTGCGGCGGGAGTGACAGAGAGACAGGTCCCTGTAGGGCACACTGGGGAATCCTGCGTCCGCGTACGTCTGACTGTAGGATACTCTGCTCATGTCACAGAGGCCACTTCTGTGAGACCTCCTCCCCTCCACTGCCCACTCCCAAAAAGAAACAAATAAAAGCAAAGCAAATGTATTCTGTCACGACAGCTATTGGGAGCCATCCAGCCAACAGCTATTCCCCCATCCAGCCAACAGCTATTCCCCTGCTGTTTTCCAGACAGTGCACTGCAGGAATCAGTGTGCTGAGCTACCTGGGCAGGTGCGCTCCCGACAGCAGCTGCGACTAGAGCCTGTGGGCTGCCACTGGCTGCGAGCAGCCTCCACGCCCCCCGGCAGCCCTGCCTCCTGGGCTGCAATCTTTATAAACCAGTGGCACAGCCTCTGACCGTTCCCACCTGGAACTAGGCTCCTGGGCCATGTGTGCACCTGTGTGCGCTCATGTGTGCGTGTGCACATGTATGTGTACACATGTGCGTGTGTGCGCACATGCATGTGTATGTGTGCACATGTATCCGTGTGTGCACGCGTGTATGTGTGCATGTGTGTGCTCATGTGTGCACATGTGTGTGCGTGCCTCCCTCCTCCTCTCTGCACACGCTGGGGTTCTGCTCCCAGCCAGAGGAAGGACACGCCTCTCCCTCAGATGCGTGTCCTGTGGAAAACGGCAGCGCTGGGGCTGCGTGAGAGGGAATATCACCAGCCC